ATCCAGTAGTTTGGTCCTTTCAATATAATCTTTGATGCAAATGCCCATTGAAAAAATAGGATGAAGGCCAGGGTGTCTTAGAATGGCTGACAATGCCATACTCTCAGTTCTAAAATGTAAATATTTAAGCATAGAGGGCTTAAGCGATATAAATCAAAACCTAAGGGATTAAGATGTATTCCGAAACTCCGATGTTGTGTGTAGCACAAAGGAATTCGAAGAGGTGAGTCAACAAAAAGTCAATCTTGGAATGTTCTATGATGGGCAATGAAAACTGGCCAAAGATGGACAAAATTCTTTGGATTTTGCATACTTTTTTTTGATAGTTGGTTGGACAATTTTTAACTTGTAGGAATCATGAATTTTTGAAGGTTTTGTGTTTTTTGAAGTGTAAGCAATTTAAGGTTTAGGGTTTATGAGAGACGCTCTTGTGTTTACTGAAAATCTAGGGTTTTGTTTGTATTTAGTATTTTGGTGTGGAAGCTTTTTGAGAAATGGAAACTTGCTCTAACATCAATTGATGTACCAAGTAGAAGAATAACTAGATAAATAATCCAGAAGTAGGGAGATGGAAGGATAATCAAGAATTACAGAGATAAAGAGAAGTTAGATAGGTCTAAACAGAGATATTAGGAGGGGATATAACATGAAACTCGAGAATCAATTATCATTTGGAATTTTGTTCATGAACTCACTCTAATGTTTCCACAAAATACAAGACATACTTCTAGGCTTAAAAAGAAAAACTCCTAATAAAAAAGTATTGAAACAATGGAATAAAAACTAAATTAATTAAAACACTCAAGCCTAAAGTATAGAAAGATTAGAAAAATATTGATATATGAAATCCTAATCCTAATTAATTGATGAAACAATGAAATAAAAACTAAATTACGTAAAACAATCAAACCTAAAATACTAAAATATAAAAACATAAGGACTATATAGCCCTTTGCATCTTTCCTAACTCACCCATTCCCAATCTTTTAAAATAAACCAATAATTTAATAATTTTATTAAATGTAAGATTTTTAGAGATCGATGAAAAAAATGCTTATTTCATCTAATATTGTAAAAAGAACATTCTTTTGCCATATATGAGTAGGATGAGACTTATATGAGTTCATTGGATTCTCTGGACATCTGCATTGATCAATGAATTTTTTCTAATTCATTAATGTCATGAAACAATAATATGATTAATATGTAATTAATTAATTATTAATTTACAATGTCAAAATTATTTATTATATGTTAATTTATTTTATTTTATTGCCACAGGATAGTCCTATTTTTCATTTTCCACATGCAAACACATTACTTATTAAAGATTGTATTCCTTATTTACTTTTATTAAGGTTAATTTTTTTATTTTTGTCATCAGTTTTCTAATTTCTCAATATTTAAATTATAGTATATTGGATATACGACTTCTAAACTACTTTTTAATTTAAATTTTATGCGTATTCTAGGATATTTGGCTTTTAAATTTTAGAATGAAATAATGTCTAACTAAATATTTAAATAAAATGATGTTACAAGTTTCAACACACGGTATTAAGAAGTGATACAAATCTTGTACAAGAACATGCAATTTTAATATAACTTTATTTGAGTATGTTACTTGCACCATGCAAAGCTAGTTTTTATGAGACAAAGATAAACATTGATATCAATCAAATATAAAGTGACAAAACCTCAATTACTTGGTTAACAAACCTCACTACACTTTCAGTATGAAAACATGAATCCTCAAATTACTTGCATGATATTGCAATTATTGTATGAAAACATTTGATCTGAACCATGAGGATAAAACATATTGATATGCCATTGTTAAAAGTTGATTTTTTGTTCCATTTACCATGATATCAAAGTCATGTGTTTAAAGTTGATAATGGATGTAAACCCTACCCCTACATGTTATACGTAAGGGAAAGAGTTAGAAGTTGAATTTATCCCATATCGTTAAGTTGGTGGATTATTATAATGTATATATGTGATTGGACTTCATCATTCCTTAAACTAGCTGTTAAGAGTGAATTTTATACAAACTCATTTATCAACCACCACTTTACCGTTTGAAATTCAACATCTTTTTCACTCATGAGTGGAAAAGTGTAGCTAAGGAACTAATTGTCATGGTCAAAACAAAGACCTTAGAAGTTATAAAAGATCATACAATAACAATATGACCAAGAAAGCATTTTGATTACTAAGTCCTTTCAAAGTTTTGATATTTTGATAGGTGATCCAAAGAACTCATGCTTCTTTCAAATGCTTTGGCAAAATCAAGCCCCTGTTTGGCCATAAAGGAAAATTTAAAGTACAACTTTAAACATGATGATTAATAAGCATGGAAATACAATCTTACTTTCGGATGTGATCTTATGAATGTCCAAAAAATCCCTTGAATCATTTGCGAGTGAATATATTTGTTTTTCCACCCAAATCATTGAACGATATCTTTTTTCTGCGCTTGTTTTTAGTCATAGAATCTTAAGCCAATTTGAAACCTAAAAGAGCCAAGTCAATGTGAAGTCTATACATAAAACGCATGCACTATATACTAAAACCATTTAAAATAAGATAACTTGAGTGAAGATATTATTATGGTTAAAGTACTTAAAGAGTATGGAAACTGATAAGAATTCACTCCCAAATTGATAGGAATTAGGTTAGGCAATGGGCATTTGATAAGAATTGGGTTGGGTCAAGGGCCTTATAGGAGTTGTGTAGAACTCTCATTGGAAAACTGGCTTGTCAAGGGAGGGTGTCCAACTCCTTATAAACCACATGCCTGTCGTTTTTCCCTCTCAATGTGGGATCCTAACATTCCCCCACGCTTCGAGACCTAATGTTCTCGTTGGTCTTCTTTCCAGAGAGTGCTCAACATACCACCATACCCTTTTTCCCTCTCAATGTGAGATCCTAACATTCCCCCACGGTTTGAGACTCAACGCCCTCGTTGGTCTTCTTTCTAGAGAGCGCCCGCCCTCATCAACTACTCGACCTCGTTGGTCTTATTGCCCTCCCTTCAGGTCTTACTTTGCCTAGAAGCCTGTCAACAATTCTATTCTCGGCTTAACGAAGGGTGCCCAACTCCTTATAAATCACATGCCCGCAATTTTTCCCTCTCAATGCGGGATTCTAACATTTCCCCACATTTTGAGACGTAATGCCCTCGTTGGTCTTCTTTCCAGAGAGTGCGTAACGTATCCCCCCACACCCTTTTTCCCTCTCAATGTGAGATCCTAACATTCCCCCACGCTTCAAGACCCAACACTCTCGTTGGTCTTCTTTCTAGAAAGCGTCCGCCCTCATCGGCTACCCTACCCTCGTTGGCCTTACTACCCTCGTTGGCCTTACTACCCTCCCTTCGGGTTTTACTTTGCCTAGAAGCATGTCAACAACGCTTATTCTCAGCCCCTCAGGGGGCCCACTGGGCCCTGTTGCGTGGGCTCGAAAGGTGGGCATGCTCAGATACCATTTGATAGGAACCCACTCCCAAATTGATAGGAATTGGTTGGATAATGGACCTTTGATCGGAATTGGGTTGGGTAGTTGTCTTTTTGTGGGCTTAAGTATAACTCTCCTTGGAAAACCGGTTTGCCAAGGGAGGGTGTCCAACACCTTATAAACCACATGTCCGCCCCTTTTCCCTCTCAATGTGGGATCCTAATAGAAACCTTCCAGGATCTTTTATAGCATATGTGAACATTTTTCAATTCTTATGAAAAAGAGATCAATCAATTAGTCTAATTATCTATTTTGTTCTATGGTCATAATAACTTTCCTGGACCTAAGAGAAGCTGTAGATAGACCAAGATTGGTGTTCAATGAATCAAGATAGGATACAAGAGAGTAAACATGTTGTATAGTTGGCAAGAGATATTTATGTTGTCAATCACCTTACATCTAATTGATTATCTAAGTCACATGTGGTATAGTTGGCAAACGATATTTATGTTGTCAATCACGTTACATCTAATTGATTATCTAAGTCAGTCATCCATAATGTAATACATATGACAAAATTTGTTACCAAAGTTTTTTTTTATCATGAATTTATTGGTCAACAATCATACTTGGGCGTATAACTTCATTATTCTATTTTCCTTTGAACTTTTTTTCTTTCCAGTTGTTATAATTCTAAACAACCATAAGTGATGCGGTTTTAATGTTTTCATCCGCTACTCTATTGATGTGAATGTCCACACTCTACATTTTCAAATTCAAGCATTAATGTAGCTCTAATAAACTTGAGAGTGATGAAATAGAGAGTTTTAATGGTGTATGATTAAGAAAATTGAAAAGACACTATAATGAATTTGAGCTATCATATCTATCCAAGTAGATATCCTACTTTGGGTGAAACCCGCAACAATTCACCTTTGGACTTCACGCAAACACCTTTCACCCAAAACGCATCCACTTAGTTAAGAGGACTCAAGCCTTGCAAATTAAACCCTAGCATCATTACCTAGTGATGTAGGATATCACAAAAAACTCACTTTATAAACCTTGCATCATTGTGAGGGCCACACTGTACCTTTAGGTCATAGACCCACTTTGACACCAATTGTTACATCCCAGGTTTAATCACATATAGCTCACTTTAAGCAGAAGCCCGCACAGATTTGTGCAAATTTGACATGATGAGACAAAATTTGAATTTCATTTTAGCTACTACTTTAGAAGCAACAGATGATATGTCTTACGCATACTTCTCTAGGGTGTTTTGGACTTTTAGTCAAACAATATGTTTGAATATATTTTCTTTTCTTAGTTCTTATTTCACTGTTTTTTTTTTTTTTTTTTTGGGTCCTTTTTATGTTAGTATTTTTCGTTACATATAGGACTATTAGCAAGTTCTTTATTTTAATCAGATCAACTAGTTTTGTCCTAGTACTCAGTTTGGTGATTGAGAAGTTGTTAGTCAGTACTTATGATTCAGTTTGGTTATTGAGCAGCTATATTAATCAGTACTTGTGATTCAGTTTGGCCAACATTCTTGAGTGCTGTAAGAGTCGCTGTGGAGGGGAAGCTCTTGCATCCAGGAGTGTAAATACAGAGGTAAAATATTTTATTTTCTCTATTGAGAAACAATTTGTGGGAGTTGCTATATCTTGTCCTGAGCATGCGTTAGCTTGAGGTGAGCAACATTTAAGGTTTTTAATGTTTGTGTCAAATTGCACCATAACAGAATTTGGTAAGATTAAGAAAGTTTTTTATTTGTTTCTTAAAATATTGCAATTGTTTCAATAGTAACAACTACAAAGATATTGCAAAAGGTTAAAGAACAATATGTGTGTGCATGTAGAAATAAATAGCAAGCTGATTCACACTTATATTACCATCAATTCCTCACAAAATATCTAACCAACTAATCTAATTAATGGAAAATTTAACCTAGAGTAGCAATATCTTTTAACTGAATTGATGAATGAATTATTGTGGATGTCAACAACTATATTGATAGTCTTTTATCATTGTCAATCAGTTTGGAGATCTAATACTACCACAAGAGAGGTGTGGGAGGTTTTATTTTAAGGGAAGGTCAGGGAAGATATATAAGAGAAAATAAAACAGCGAAAATTTTAAATCCTTCAGCAAAACTTTTGCTCCCTTCCAAATCTGTAAAAACATATGATGGACCTAGTGTTTCTAAGTGTAACAAACGAAAAGGGAATGAGGGACAAAAGTGGTAATTAGAGTTATGGACAGGTGGCATAGGCGGTTAGTAGAATCAAAATGTCAAAATAAAAGAGAGAATATAAGTTAGTGGGGGAATATGCTGAATTTTATGTGTGTGATTTGTTAGGCGGTCCTGGCCCTCGAAGACCAATTGGTTCCATTTTTCATTCAATGAATATTTCCTTCTTTTGTTAATTGATAATCGATGCTCTAATTTCTTACTATTTGTGCTTGAATGATCTTGATTATTGTGGTTTGTGTGTGTTGATTGGTTGTGACTATTGAAAGTATTATGGGTATCGTGTTGTGAGAAGTTGAGGTAGAGAAGGTATTCATCAAATTGTAATGATGGACCTAGTGTTTCTAAGTGGTACAAACGAAAGGGGAATGAGGGACAAAAGGGGTAATTAGAGTTATGGATAGGTGGCATAGGCGGTTAGTAGACCATTAGCCTTCATTAGACAGGGGATATCAACACAGTGTCAGTTAAAATCAGTTTAAGAAAGGGAACTCATGGTCATCATTCTTACGGTACAAAAGTGGAGACATTATCTCCTGGGTCAACATTTTATCATCCGTATTGATTAACGGAGTCTCCATTATCTTAATGATGAAAGGTTATAGGGAGAAGGGCAACAAAAATGGATCATCAAATTGTTGGGGTTGGACTTCGAAATCTAGTATAAACCGAGTTTAGAGAACAAGGCAGCAGATGCCTTACCAGGAGAGAAGGATTAGTTGAGTATAACGCTATCTCCACATGCTATTTTGCTAATCGAAATGAGTGGGAATAAGCCATCCAACAAGACACCAAGCTTCGGAAAATCAGCCAAGATTTAATAGCTGACCCAAATAGTCACCAGCATTTCCGCCAAGTGGGACACCAGTTATTCTATGATGACTGGCTGGTCTTACCAAAAACGCGTTCCCAAGTCCAGTTACTTCTCTAGGAATTCCACTCCTCACCTATAAGGGACATTCTAGGTTTTTTCGGACTTATAAAAGGCTATCACAAGTAGTGTATTAGGAAGGAATGAAAAGAGATATTCAGGTGTTTGTAAGGGATTGCCAAGTATGCCAACAAAACAAATATGGGAGCCTTCAACCAGCTGGGTTATTGTAGACACTACCTGTTCCATCCCAAGTTTGGGAGGATGTTTCCACTTTCCATGGACTTCATAGTGGGCCTTTCAAAAACTCAACGGGTCGATACCATTTTGGTAGTGGTCGATCGACTCTCAAAGTATAGCAACTTTCTCACGTTGCAGCATCCTTACACTGCTAAAGAGGTAGCCATTTTATTCCTCACCAATGTGGTAAAATTGCATGGGTTCCCACGTATAATAGTGTTTGACCGTGACAGCATATTTATGATTGTATTTTGGGGCAAAATGTTCAAGCAATCGGGCACCAAACTTCACATGAGTACGGCCTATCATCCTTAATCTGATGGCCAAACAGAAATTGTAAACAAGTGCGTCGAAACTTACTTAAGATGCTTTGTGGGACAACAACCCAAGCAGTGACCTAAATGGTTGGTCTGGGTCGAATATGGTTCAACACAACTTACAATCGCTCTTCTTGAATGACTCCATTACGGGAACTTTATGGGAGAGACCCCTCTACACTTCTTAAATATTTTGAACATACCTCTGTTGTGGAGGTTATTGAGGAGCTGATGACTGCACGGAATCTGATTCTAGATTAAACTTAAGATGAATTTAGTTAACACTCAGAATGCAATGAAGGCTTATGCAGATAGTAAAAGATGAGAGGTTTCCTTTGAAGTGGGAGACTAAGCTTATTTGAAATTGCAACCTTGTCACCTGAAGTCTTTTGCCAAGAGGGCCAATGAAAAGCTCAGTCCCAGATTCTATGGTCCTTATGAGATTACCGAGAAGATAAGACAGATAGCTTATCGACTGAAACTGCCAACCATAGCTCGCATCCATAATGTCTTCCATATGTCTTAGCTTAAAAAGGTCACCTCCACCATGTGGCAGCACTGCCTCTCTCGGAATTTCTTGATGGTGATATGGTGCTTAAAGTTGAACCTGAACAGGCCCTTATGAAACGACGATTGATAAATGGCTGTATGAGGTGTTGATAAAATGGAAGAATTCACCAACTTGTGATAACTCTTGGGAAGATTATGACTCCATTTGCCACCAATTTCCTTCTTTTCACCTTGAGGACAAGGTGACACTTCTTGGGGAGGGTGATAATGGACCTAGTGTTTCTAAGTGGTACAAATGAAAGGGGAATGAGGGACAAAAGGGGTAATTAGAGTTATGGACAGGTGGCATAGGCAGTTAGTAGAATCAAAATGTCAGAATAAAAGAGAGGATACGAGTTAGTGGGGGAATATGCTGAATTCTATATGTGTGATTTGTTAGGAGGTGTTGGCCCTCGAAGACCAGTTGGTTCCATTTTTCATTCAATGAATGTTTCCTTCTTTTGCTAATCAATGCTCTAATTTCTCACTATTTGTGGTTGAATGATCTTGATTATTGTGGTTTGTGTGTGTTGATTTATTGTGATTGTTGAAAATATTTTGGGTATTCATCAACACATAATTGGTTTCCAACCTAATATAAAATTCTATAGGTGTATTTTCAAGTATATGAGTGATAAATAGTGAGGCTAAACCTTCTGCTAATTGTCAGACGAGCTTAATTGGTAATTTACTACTGCTGAGATGGATGAGACATGGATATGTGCCGCAGTAATAAACAGGACATGAAATCATTTGAAAATCAGGAAATTATATCAATAATTAAACAACATGCGTAACGGTTAAGTTACTACTTGACCCAAAAAATTAAGCTAATAGGCAAGAATGCGATAAAAGTATTATGCTCTAACAACGACTACTAGATCACAGCCTGCTGAATTGTATTCAACATTGTGTGCCTTGTTTATATCTTGGGTATCTTAATTGATGTTTTGGGTTCTAAAAAAGTTTTCGCTCCATAGGTCTCTCACCCTGAATGTGCAAGTATATATTCACATGCTGAGCTGCTGCAAATAGTTCAAAGGCAATTTCTCCAACTATCTTATAACATATGCCTGAAAAGGCACAACAAATACTGTTGATTAAAATGTATTTTGTATTTGCAGGAAACTTGATGGACCAAACTTTAAGCAGTTGACTGTGCCTGATCTTGTGCAACTGGAGAAGCAACTTAATGCTAAAATATCACAAATTAGAGCTAGGAAGGTGGGTTTATATCTTATTTTTAGTGAAAGCTCATAGACTAAAGGACGTTGAGATGCTGAATTGAAATCAAGGTTTTGAAAGAGACAGGGTGCATTTCATGATCAAGAAAATCATGCATATGTACTGGTGAAATTACAGCCTTCAGACATTTTGCATCTCGGTCTTGGTTCACCCTGTAACTCACATTTCCAAAGAGATTTCAACGAAGCAAAGAAATAGTGATACTATTAAACCTTAGAAAAACAGGCATCTGCATCTTCACAATGATGTAGCTGATTCCTTGTGTATCTGTGAAGCAACTGTTTAAATCATAGAGTACATACATTATCATTCAGCTCCTCTCTTTTGAACATTTCCCTGTTAATTAAACCTCTTGGTGGTTTAGCATCCTCTCTCTAAGTGCATTCATCCACTTCTATTATGTGTTTCTGGTGTTACTGCTGGAATATAATAGAAAGATCTATGCCTAAGCCAGTGAACTATATTGTACTTGATGCGTGTTTTTTTGCCCTATACATCCTCCAGCACTAAAACACCATGTACTTGTAACTCAATTTTTTCTTTATACTAAAGAGTGAACTCTTCTCTCACATTTCTTCTGATGAAAGAACTTGCACATACCATAAATTTCCTGAATTGGTTAATCAGACCATTTACCTGTGAAAATAATTTATCATTCAGTTGATCATCACAGGTCTTGCAATTTTTACTACTGATAGTACCATATTGGCGATAGGTTCCAGCTAGCTTTATCAAGTTAATAGAGGGTTGACCTCCCGTCTAGTTCACTGACTGAAAATCTATAAATGTTTATTTGAACGTCATCAATCACATGATAATAGGAACTTGGATCAGCGCTAGTTAGACTCCTGTCATGGAATATTCTCTGCATTTCTGTCCTACTGTCTCAAAAACTGCTATTTCATTATTTGATCTATAACCTTCTGTTCACCAAGTTTTATTGCTGTCCTCATTCATTTATTTATTTTTGCAGACAGAAATGATGATGGAATCCAAAATGACCCTCCAAAATATGGTATACCACTACCCATCAACCTTTCTCTGCTATTTATTGTTCCAGCTAAATCTTGAAGGTATCTTCTAGTTTCTTGCCTTTTACGAGGGCAGCACCATCATTATTTCAATTACAGAACAGAATTTCTATTGAGGATTCTAGCTAAATCTTAAAGGTACCTCCTAGGTTCTTGACTTTTATGTGGGCAGCACTACATCAATGGTCCCATTTTATCCAGTTCAGTTTATTTAGTAAGAGTTTTCCATCTTCTCCATCAAATAGAATGGGATCTTATGCTGTATGTCTCCACTAGCTAGCTGTTTCAAACACTTGAGCTTCAACTATCTCAGTGGGACATTTGTTTGCCATATGACTGAAACTTAAACCAAACAATCTTAATTGGCCACTTAAGTACTTCTCTTAATTCCTACTTGTCGGAGACTCTCAGTTTCTTTATTTTTGGCATTCTATTCATACTGTGTCCTTGAGAACCCTATTAGTTTCATGCTCCTAATGACTCAGATTTTATTCAATGGAATCCCACTCTGTTTTCTCTGTCCATATTATCCTATAACTCTCAAGCAGTCTAAACCTTCATATCTTCCTACTTTCTAGAAGGTAAAACTATTAGAAAATATGATAAGAGAACCTAGACCAGCTTGCGATCCTAAGTACAGTATAACAATCAGTGTATGAAATCTATCTCAACCTCATGCATTCCATTTAATGGATTTGCTACCTCAAATTGAATAAATCTAGGAAGAATTTAGTACACTTTCAGAGTTTAGATAGACCGCTCAAAAATGAGTTTAAAAAACAAAATCAAAAGATTCGTTTTGAATCAGTGTTTGGCAGATGCTTAGCAAATCAAATAAACATTTATTAAAAAAAAAAAAAAAACATGAAGTCCTGAACTAAAGCAAGGTATATATCTACAACATATTCTGTATGTGTGAGTACAGGAAGATATTTTAGTTACCACTCACATGTCTTCTTGCTGTAACAGGAAAAGACGCTGAAAGAAGAAAACACACTTCTGAAAAGAGAGGTAAAATTGTTAACTTGAGAAAAACCTATCTTATTCATGAAAAGCGTGTGTTATTGGTGAATTTTGGCTACCAGATTGCAGCACTAGAGAAGCAGGGGAATGATACAGCCGCCAGAGTGATGGCAACCCTGCATTTGCTTCGACAGTAGCTTGGATATAACATCCTTCCATACGTGTTCACAATTTGGTGCTTCAAGTTGGCTGACGAGGGGGGCAGTGTTGGAAATGTTGAAACCGACGATGTTTCATTTAGTTGGTATCATAAATCTATTCATTATTCCCACGCAATTTCTACCAATGGGGACTGAAGCAAAAATCTAACCATTGGCTTATAAGTTTAGCTGATGGACAATGCTGTATCCTGATATATAAATTTATGTATGTATTTGTGAGCAATAGCGGGATAAGGTTTGTATGTAAGACGGTCAGTTTGGAACAATCTCCTGGGAGAATGTGTCCTATTACAGAACTTGTCGTTTTTCGTTGTTTGTCTTTTGAGTTTTGTCGGCCAAAGTTATGCATTATCCTTTTGTTTTCTGTGACTGGGCTATAATTCAACCTGAAATTTTCTGGAGTTCGCTTTCTCTTAATTGTCAATAAAAACTCTACACGTTTCCTTTTCAACTCCGTACTTTCCTTTTTAAATGTCTTTTCATTATCACTATTTCTTCAATGTTTCGATCCCTTTTTTTATTTTTTTGGTAAATATGCTAATTAATAACTGTTTACATAAACAGGATATTGAGTGTTATAATACGAAACATGCAAATCAATGAAGCTATCAAAGATTAAATAAGTAAATAAAGTTGAAGCAGATTGTAGATAGATGATGCATATGTACATGAAATAAGGCTTACAGATGAGGAAGGCGAGGAATGGCAAAAGAGATGAAGCTAAGCCCAGGCCGCCCCAGGAGGTTTAACTACAGGGAGAGTTAGCTTCATTTTGAAGGTTGCTCCCCCGACTGGACTCTCTCTTCAACACCTCTTCGATCTAATATATGTTAAGTGAGAAAAGCATTCGCATCCTTAGTTCTATAAATTTGAATTAATTTGGTAATGATTGAGGGCAAAAATTTTATTAAGACCGGTAAAGCAGACTGCTTGGGCCTTATTTTCTGCCATTTGGTCTTTCGCTGGGAGACACATTACACAAAGTGAACAAGCCCAAAATCTATCTTGATGTTTCTAGTAGCCCACCGCTATTAAACCAAAAGAAGTTCTACTTTTCATGTTTTCTATAATTATTAATTTGACCTTTACTTAACTTATTTTTAATTTATCTTCTTTACAAATATTTTGGTACCCCATTTATGCATATATAAATCCTAGTTTCTTGTATTCTTGTTCAAATCTAAATTGGAACACTATAAAGAACTAAAAAGTGGTTTCATTATTGGAGACAATAATTTAAAGGGAAATATACTAATTACTAGGTTATGAATAATATTAAATTTTAAGTTTGTAATTGCTTTTAATTAAATGGTATCTTTAATTTTACTCATAGCTCTCCTAAAATGGTGTCCTTTTCTGTTGGGTTGTACCATGTGTGTGGCCCAAATCCAAAACTAAACTAAACCTAAAACAATATCTTATTTTGATACGGTGGGAGACAATTCTTTTTTTTTTTGGGGGGGGGGGGGGGGGGGTAACTGGGATGTTTGTATATCTCAACTAATCTTTAGAATCTACTGAATATTTTACAAGCCTAAAGGATCAATTGATCAAAGGACCTGGTAAACCTGGTAGGTGACCCCAAGGTTTGAACCTAAAAACTCAAAGAATGGATCAAACCTCTTTGACTACCAAGCAAAGGCAGATCCAACCCCCTTGATGGTCAGATTAAAAAAAAAAAAAAAATTACTAATATATAGACCCACAAAAAAATTGCTATATATATATATATATCAAGCATACATCATATTAAAAGGAAAAATGCTAGTCTTACTCACTCCCCTTACTCACTTCTTTTACTCATATTTGTTAAAATGACATATGGTACCCGTACTATGTTTATGGTACACGTACTATACTTTATATTTACACAAGTGAGTAAGAGAAGTGAGTAGGGGGAGTAAGTAAGGGTAGCATTACTCTATTAAAAGTTTAAAACTCTCTCTATTTTTCTTCTCCACGGCTCCATCAACTTTTTTATGATTTTATCCCTAAAATTTTTGACTCTCTCATTCTCATGCTACTCGCTCTTAAAACTTTTGAAAGCTTTCACTACTCAGGATGCCACAATTAGCCATGTTTTCTGTTTTTTCAATTTTAGGTAAGTGTATTGCTCATTTCAATTTAGTTTATTTTATGGGTGAATCATGCTTGTCTTTTAGAGGTTTTTTATTCTAATTTAAGGGGAAAAAAAGGCATAGATCTTGTGAGTTTATTTTGTGTTTTGTGTCTAAGAATGTTTTTGCTTTCTTAAATTAAAACATTAACTATATTTTAAAGGACGTTATTCTTTACCCTTCACCCGCTACTTTCTTATATTTCAAACTTCACCGTTCAGCTGCTCAAAATTATTAAAGAAATTTGAGTTACTATCTATGTTTGTATTAATAAAATTCCTCATTCTTTTATTAATTCATATTGAAAGTAAACGCAACATTGACTTAATTAAGTTTTGGTTAACTTTAGCTTAGGTTAGTTTGATTAAGGTCATGAAATTTATATTATAATCTTTGGAAGCCAAAAATTAAAAAAAGGTTTTGAACAAAGTTTACTCAACACATTTACTCAAAATTATACTTCTCATTGATTTATTCAAATCGGCAAGTATTGTGTTACTATATTATTTTCTTTCAAGTTCTTAGTATTGTATTATTTTCTTTTCTTAAAGTTTGATGATTTTTTAAAATTTTCATTAATTGTTCTAAGACAAAAATCATGGACCCACCACAGCCAAGAGGCCGACCCATTTGGGTTCGGTAGGAGACATTTTGTTGATTAAAAAACATGGTAAACACATGGTTAGTTAATTAATTTTCCCATGATTTGATGGCTTATTATAGAGACTCATGGGTGCGTTTGTTTCTCTATCCTATTCCTATTCCAAATTAAAATATATATTTATTTTCCTATTCTCAAAATCATATCCTAAATTATTTAATAATTTTTAATTTTCAAATCCTACCTCGTAATAACCACTTAACTCTACCTACCAATAATATTTTAAAAGTACTACATCAATTAGCTAAACAAACAAACCCCAGGGTTCACGTGTAAGATTGCTTAGAATTATTCAATGCCTTAACTTGTAGGATTGGATTGCCAAATCAGCTTCAATAATGAAATAATCGAATGACCAAATAAATCTTCAGAAGATGTATTTGGTGAGTCATAAATATCCAATAGTTATCACTATTAAACGTGAAAGAGACCACCACCACAAGTTTCATACATAAATATATAGATATTTTTTTATTCTATTTTCATTATAAAATAATAGGGTTAGTCTTGGAGTGTCGATTCAGTCTTTTATTAAACTAACCTTCCAACCCCACCTAATTCTTTGACAATTTATTCATCATTATATCTTTTTATTTTCTTTTTCTCTTTTCAGTCCTAATTTTTATATCTAAATGACAATTTCCCACCCAAGATTAAGCCTAAGTAAGCTTTTCCACCGGAAATGTTTCAAAAAAAAATAAATTTCCCACCCATCGGTCAAATCTGTTAATGAAATATGTTACCTGTTAAGGGTAAAGCTATGAAAAGACTATAGAATCTTTTACTGTTTGACTTTATAATTTTTAACCACATTTTCTGAATTTTTTTTTTCAAATAAACTGTGGACTCATTGTCCACGGTCGATCTATCAAACGGTATTGGTAATATGGTTAAACTCGCCGTCGGTGACTAAACCTAGATCCTGTCAATGTCAATTGTCAGAAAACGGTTTCATCAAAAGACTCATCATTTACACCGTTGGATAGATCATCCAACGACACTAACTATGTTGTCGAACTTGCTGGCAAAGACTGAACCCAAATCCTGTTGATATACATGTCGACTAGTTTTTACTCTTCACATATTTTAAAAAAAAAGTTAAAACATAATAAATGAAATCAAAGATAAGAGGTTTAAACTGCTAATTCCCAAGTGATGAACGTAATTGTTATGATATATCAATACAATCCAATCCAATTAGTACAATGATTTTGGATAAGTCAAGTGACTACCCTACACATAATTATTCATGAGATTTGTTCTCTTGACAAAACCTCTTTATTGTTCTATCCATGGAGGGTCAACTTCCAACATTAGATCATTTGATTTTGTCGTTGTAATGTTTCATTAAATTGACAACTCAAGCTTTCACCAATGGCGGGTAAATGCAGCACATCACAAGATGAAAAAACTTTAGAAAAAGGATTAAAAAGGATCAAAATAATTCTTAAAATTACAGAAATTAATCACAATAAGATATTTATTATGATAATTGCTTTCTTAGAATTTTTAACTTATATAGGTAAACTTAATTAAATTTTTTTTTTTTTTGGAGTAGGTCCTCCATCGTCAATATTCCCACAATCATAATAAATTCCAACAATTTTAACCCAATTTTAAATACTTTAGACAAAGAAACTCTCATAAGTCAATTACCTCTCGGTGGTACCTTTTTAGTTACTAATAAAGATAGTCATTAAAATTTTTATTCCAGTCAGTAGTTTCAGGGTCTTAGAGAATTAATTGAGATGTGTGTAAACTGGTCGAACACTAGCAGGTAGTTTCAGGGTCTCAGAAGATTAGTTGATATACGCGTAAACTAGTTCGGACACCAATCGCTAGTTCTAAGGTCTCAGAGAATTAGTTGAAATATACGTAAACTAGCCTAAACAACCTTGGTCATTAAAAAAAAAAAAAAAAAAAATTAGATCTAAAAGATTAATTGAGATACGCATAAATTGAGTTGAACATCTCCGGTCATTTAAAAAAAAGAAAAAAAAACTCTGGTAAATCTTACCAACTTGACCATCATTATAAACCCAAACGATGAAATTTAAAAAAGATTAAACAATAATAAACCTTACAATTTTTTGTAATCGGATTAAAAATTATTTTTAAACGTTTAAACACCTTTTATAAGCATACCAAAAAAATACAGTCAACATATATTTAATACCCTAAGCTTAGAAATTATCCTTCTCAAATAGTATTTCAACGATTACGGCTTGTACAGATTTTTATTTATTTATTTATTTTTTTTGGCAAAAGAATTTAAGTTATATATATTTTAAAATAAAATCGTATTATTTATAGTCTTTACAGCTATCTACTGAGGTAATTTTATTATTAATTTATTATCCATTCCTCAAAATTAGGTAATAGTAATCCATATTTATAGACAGATATAATTATGATCAACCTGTCCGCTTTGCCAAAACCTAGACCACGTGCTTTTATGTTAGAAGTTAGAACACAATTACTTGAAGAAGATAAGGCCCCACGTCACCCGGCCCCACTCTGTCCTTCCCGGCTACTCTAATCCTATGCGCGTGCTGTGCACGCTTAGCAACTACGCGTCCCTATCTCAACTGAAAAAGGTACCAGACTCTTTTTCACTTTATAATTTTATTTCATTTTATCTTGATTGCTTTTGCTTGTTCAAGAATCAAGATAAAATGCAAATTCCGAAATCAATACACTATAACTGCACCGCCGTGTCACTTTCTCTGAGTTTCTCGAAGAATTTCCTGTGAAACAAACAAACCTCTGCCTGTCAAAACTTTCCAGTTGTAACATAAGTTGAATTCCTCTCCAATCACACACCGTTTTAGATAGCAGTTGCCAAGTTTATCCATTTTCCTCGTTGTCAGCAAATTTTCTTTTTCTTTCTGTTTTTTCTCGCTAATTTTCTCGGATTAGGTTAAATTTGGTCTATCCATTTGGTATTTTCTGGAGAAAACAAAAAATGATGAGAAGACAACAGCAACAGCAGCAACAAGATCAACAGTCTAGAATCTTTTACGAGCTATCAGCTCTGGTGTTGAACATCCTGCGATCACCGCCTTCGCCGATGCCGTACTCCGACCAGTCATCGGAGGCGGTTGTGTCGTCGACGAGGAGGTCGTCGTCGTCGTCGTCGATGCAGATCTCACCGGCGGGATTTGCGTCGTTGATGCTGGGGATTTCGTTAGCTTTGATGCTGTGTGGATCAGTGACGTTCTTTATAGGGTTCATGTTGATGCCTTGGGTTCTTGGATTGGTTATGGTGTTTTATGTTGCTGGGATTGTTTCTACTATATCAGTTTTGGGTAAATCCATATTTTGTTACGCTATGGCTCCACCTTCTTCGCCGAGAAAGGATATACCTGGTATGTTTTTTAATTTTTAAAGAAAAAACTTTCCAATTTTGTATTGTCTTGTTTGTTCTTGGGAACTTTTTGTTCCAAATTGGGTTTTGTTGATATCTACGGAAGAACAGAGGTTTTTTTTCAAATAAATTATGACTTAACTCGCTATTTAGCAATTTTTTCAACCTTTGAAATTTATTTTGCTCTGATTCAGTTAGATACGTTGATGAACTTAATGGATGTCGATGGTTTGAGCCATATTATTGATAGAATAACTTAATACCTGCCGTGGACATGTGCTGATCGATTCTAATTTTATTAAGATGTTAGTTAAGGGTCATAGCTCATATGAGGTAATTTTTTTTTTAGGAAAAAAATTCTTAAATTTTAACAATCAAACCAAGGAAATGTTGCAACTTTTAAATTTCCTTTTTTCCGGTTATGCGCAGCCAATTGTGTTTTAGCAGAGTTATAAGTCTGCCTTAGAAGTTATAAAACTTTGATACAGAACATATTTTTCATACGGCTTCGGTGTAAAAAGATTGTTCGATTTACAAAGTAATAATCTTATGATTTTGGAGATTACAGGGTCAAAAGGTTCATCTTGGTTTTTGCCGAAACCGGATTGAAAATTGGAAAAAAAAATGGGGGCAGAGCTTATTTGTGCACAATTTAAAGAGGAAAATAGAAAAGTTGAATTACTACCTAATGAAATCAAGATTCAACCAAACTATTTCTTGTAAGCGTGTCTTATCATTCGCTTTGACAGAATCTATTAACCTTGCGTGGACACAATATGTTTTTTAGGTTTTGGGGTTTGTAAGAAAACTGTCATAATGAAAATTTCTATTTGCTTATTCCTACTTTTTTCAACTTTCCATTATATTTGACCCTGACCTGCATTATATCCTGATGTCCGTTGTCATTCTGACGGGTTATTGATTTGCTACTATGCAGAGTTATGAGGTCACTTCAGAAGATTAGACATAGTTAGAAAGAAGCCATTATATATCTTGGAAATATGTGGATTTTTGTAGGTATATATTGGCAATATGTGGATTCTGTTAGGTAATTGGCTAACCGTGCAATCTGCAAAAATGGCTTTTTAATGTAATTTTCTTTTTCTTTTTGGCTTATTCAACGTTGTTATAGCCTGCAGGTTGCCTAAGTTCTTTAAGATATGCCCAGTTGTTGGTTGGTTGATTTCACTTCACATTCTAAACTGTGGAGACAAGTAGTGGAATAAGTCAATTATGAATGATATGGTTCATCAAGCTTGAGCTTGAATGGGATAGGTGAGTTTGATTTCTTTGTTCAAGCTCTAAATTCAGCTCAAATTCCAATTTGTTTATAACCTCAGCCATAATAGTGCTGACACATAAGAAGGGATTATTTTTTATTAGGAGTGGCTAAGTTCTACTCGTATAGTCACAGCCTATTTCAACCAGCTAGAGAATGATTTAATCCTGTTGGTGCCTAGGAAATCACTTAATACTGTTACAATCCATGCTATCCTTGCTATTGTTAGGGGCCTTGCCAAGGCTGAATTAGGTCAGCTGAAATATTGATACTCGCACTAGTGCACATTGGCTTTAGCTCATGGTTGTCCAAATGCTTGCCAACCATGAAAGAATTACACTTAACCAAAGTGTGAGTACAATGGGGATTTAGTACTGATGTTTTGATTGCAATCAATCCAGGACTTTTAGGGTTGCTGAATAATATTTCCTGTATGCAACTGTGTGTGAATGTTGAGTTGTAGGATTGTGTTGTGAATCTCCCACCACCCTTTTCAGATTGGGGAGTTGTCTATGCTCTGTACAGTTGTTACGAGCATGAGTTATATACCCCTTATGTGCACGAAATATGTCTTGCCCCTTATTGAACTTATGTCCTCCGTCATGCAAAAAACTAAAATTTTGGAGTCTGTATGTTTTGTCTCAACAATTTTCCCTTTGTGCAGCATGGAAGTTTTTGTGAAGAGAGAAGGGAGATCAAAAGGATGGTTGAAATATGTACGGCAAAGCTAATTCTCTTGTGACGTGAGTAGTGCTCGGTTCTAGCAACGTACAGAGGAAAAGAAATCCAATTAGGTTTCTGGAAGTATTGATGATACAGGAATTGTGGATGACTGTTTTTCAATCCGTTAAGGAAACATGTGGATATGTCTTCTTTGTTATAGTCAAACAGTAATTGTTGGGGATTTTATATTAATGTATAATGATATCCCACTCGCCAGGTAATGGAGGTTTGTTCCATTACTAAGTTCTATTTATTTTATTTTTACTTATAAACAAAAAAGCTCTATTTTATGTGGCTTTTTTTTTCTTTTGGGTTAAGTAAATTTTATGTGTCGTTGTTAATCCATTTATATCATATTTATATTAATGATAGGTAGGAAAAAAGTAAAAGTAGAAGCAAAGTGACAGCAAAACGGTTGAGTATTATTATTATTTTGTTCAATGAGAGTATTCAGGTCAATTTTATTAGTATCTTCGAGAATTCGAATTCAAGAATTCATAGAATTTTGTTTGTTTTCAGTGGTCATTTCTATCAGTGTCTCCTATAATTCGAATTCAAAAATCATAGAATTTGCTTGCTTTTTGAGTATTATTGTAGTTGCAAGGCGCCATACTATGAATGGGAGGAAGGCTAATTAAAAGAAGTCGTAGGGAAAAATCTTGAGGTTCCCTCGCGATAAGGTTTCGTTGGGCATTTGTCTTTTCTTATGGGAGTGTCTGAGAATGGATGTGTTATTAGCAGAGTGAACCATCCCTAATTATAAGAGTATGGTCGGTTTGATAGACATGATAAATATTTTCTAGCTTGTGGAGCCCTTTTATTTTTATCTCGATTTCCTTTTCTTAATGGGGCCGAAGTCGTGGATGTCTATTCTGAAACCTGAATTCAAATTTGTTTTTAATATAGCCGCTTGTCTCCCTTGCTCATTATTATATTTTTTTTATAACATGTCTGAGTCAGCTTATTTCAAATAAATCATATACAAATGTACTACATTTACGTTTAGCAAATAATCATAAACCGTTGGATTACCAAGGTGAGTCTCCCTTACCCATATTGCATTTTACTTATAACAGCACAGTTTATATAAAGTGTAACTGATAATTAGGGGTGGTTGATTTAATATTTCTATTTATATTTAATCTTATTTTTAAATATTTGTTTATTTAATTATTTAGGAAATATATTATATTTTTAAATTATTTTTAAACCCCTAAGTTTTATATATCATTAAATATCCCCAGAAAAAAATTTAAAAATTAAAAAAACACCCTCATCTACCTTAGTTATCAAATTCTGATAACCACGTCGGTGGTAATCGGTAGTAGTCTGAATCTGTCACACGGCCTAAAAACGATCGAAAATAATCAAATTCGCCGATCTGACCTTTTCTGGTCAGATCTAGCCATCGTTGACCGAGAACGACGACATATCTTTGGCCATCGTTGACAGCAGTCTAGCCTTTTGCGGCCGTTGACGGCCAGACCACCATGCCACGGATTGGCAATTTAGCCAAAAAAGGCCAAATTGACGCACGTCCGATCGATCCACGTAATTTGCGTCGTAACGCTAGATTTCAACCAGATTCTGACGGTGGTGACCAGAACTGACACTGTGGATGGATGGAGTGTTTTTGTCATTTTACAAAAATTATATATTGAGTGTTAGTTAAATTAGCAAACCTATAAAGTTTTTTTATAAATTTTTAAACTTTACTCATAATAATTATATATAACTATCCAATACTATCTCTAAAATCCTATCTAAAATAATAAACCAAAATCACCATATAATTTATCACTTAGACCTCTGTAATGATCGTTTTGACAGTTGTCATGAAAAATTATGGCGGGATGAAGGATAGAGTGTTTAGCTTACAGGGTCAGCTCGAGTTTTGTCATTATTGACTGATTGAGCGAAATAAAGCTTTGCTAAAACAAGAAATTATTTGGCACGGCTCTCTGTCTACAGAAAGGGTAGCTGTCGTTCTTATTCGAAGGAGATAATTATCCTCTCGAGACTTCAATTATGATTTAAGAATCTTTCATATGTAATCAACCATTAAAATTGACAACTTGAGTATGCCTCTTTAGAGAAAACTAACCATGTCATGAAATTCAGATCATGCATTTATAACAGTTAACAAACATTTTTTTTTCTTTTCTTGTTGAATTAGAAAGCGCAACAATGGCAAAATCAAAAGTCGACACTTTATAGTAAACAAACTAAAACCCTGAACCTGAAACACAAGATGTAGAGGATGGAAGTAGTCAGTAACGGTACCAGCAGCATGCAGTGGATACAAATATTGGACTAGTAGTGATCATCCAGTGTTGAGTGGACACCTATGGCGATGAGAAAGATGGTAATCAGGCCAAAGAAGATGATGGTATGAACAAGAATGGATAGACCACTAGTATGCATGCCTCCAAAATCAACCACTCTGTTCCTTCCTGGTAACTGGAACAAACACTGGACTTAGCAGCACAAAAAAACACCACTGCAATCACACAGGCCCCAATCTGCCATCTCTTTCTGAATAAAAAGTTCAGCTCACTACAACTCTTAGCTCTCTTAAAGATGAAGGAAGAAGAGAATAATAGATGTGAACTGTCGTTGAGAGAAGGAATTAAAGCAAAGAATAAACTAAGAGGATCAAGAAGCAGTAACCAACAAGAAATCTTCTTCTCGGTAGATCTAGTGGGTAGTCACCTCAACTGGTGCTTTTTGGACAGATGCAGTTGCATGGCAACGTGGCAATATCATGACTTGAGCTTCGCTAATGACACAACATAATACAGTAATATCGAGTTTTATATGAAATGATTTCTTCCAAAAATATGTGGAAGAAACCCACTTTGTACGCCACCATTAACTATTCTCAACCTTAGTGTTGAAAGATTTAGCTCATTACGTTAATTAAATAATAGAAATGAGACAGCTATGAGTGATGTTGCCTATCAATCTTAATTGGTGGGTGAAGGCATTGGATTGATAGCTATAACGAACGGTAAGATAATATTTGAATTCAGATGAGAACTTCAAGTACACTTACTCTCAGGAGTCAGGGAACATTAGAATCTAGCTTTGTAGCAGATTGGCACAGCTTTATATTAAACCTCTGGTAATTCAATGGTCTTTTACAGCCATTAGCAATAGTACAAAGAGTTGTTGGGAGAGGAAAAAAGAGATTCGTTGGGTAGAATCTGAGCAAGCCATCCTTGATCACACTGTATGTGGCTGTGGCGCATTGGTCATCTCATGAAAGTTCTTTTGACCTCGTTAACGCAGCACCACCACAAAATAATTTTTTAAAACGTTTGGCTGTCTCGTTGGTAGGCATCTTTCCTATTTACTTTATTGTTTGGTAAAACTTTTTCACCAAACATCTTTTCTGGTGTATCAGAGCTGTCAAGGCAGGGCTGGAATCTTGGATTTGGTAATTTCTTGATCGTTTGTTCTGTGAATCTCGTCAAGATTAGGCTAGGATATTCCAAGATTTTTATGCAGTTAAAACAGAGGGTTGTACCAATCTTTAATATACTAAATATTATGTTAATTTTAAGAAATGTTGTAGTAAATAGTTATATAGGAGACCAGTAAGAGTTGGGTTCAGCAAGATGACCCTCAGAATATTCCAGTTCAGGAGAAATGGTCCAAGAGATCAAGAAACTTGTAGAGTAGGAGGTGGATTCGACATTCACCTAAAACATAAACCCAGCTGTCAAATTTAAGCAACCCACAGATGCATTAGCAGTAATAGAAATATTAAAAGTCAAGATTAAATAATGCATATAGTACAAACAATGTTACGAATCGGTTGGCAAAATCTAGTGTGCCAGAATCAAAGGAAACCAAATTTATAGTCTTTAGGAACAAAATGATACAGTTTTCATGGAACCAGAGAAATAGCTCTGAAGTCTGTGCACCAGAATACAAAGAACTCCATGGAGCAGAATGGAAGAAATTTAAGTCCTTTGGCAATGTACGTTCAATCTTGCACAAACCACCCTCTGAAACAATATTTTGTCTAGTTAAATAATCTTATTTTAAGTACTGATACGTTAAACGGCTTATACATGTATCTCTAAAATCATAATAGCCTTCAAATTGCCGGTAACACAAACTAAAAAACACTAGCAAGAAAGGGCATAGATTTAGGAAATGATGAAGAAAATGGAAGTCTTTCTCAGTACTATTATTACTCAACAGTCAGTTACATCTTATATCAATGCAAAAGACCAAGACACAAACAAAGTGATGAAAAGCTACACAATTAACCGACTCGAATTAGAAACCTGCTGCAACATCCCGAACTAAGTAATTTCATCTCATTGCCAAACATCACGTAATGAGTACATTATTAACCAAGGTACAAATGAACCTTGACAGCAAGCAAGAAGACACAAATGAGAGCAAAATAGAGGAGGGCATGAACCATGATTGCCGCACCACTTGTCTTAAAATTGCCAAACTCCACGCACCTTGATGCCCGGCACCTGAAACAACAAACCTGGCGTTAGCAGCACGAACAAGATCACTGCCACAAACACTGGGCCCCAATCTGACATGTTTCAAACACTTTGCGGTTTATCTCGAGGACTGTTGTATTGAAGAAAGATGTTTGTGGAATTAATGGTGAGGTAGTCGCGGCCTGAAGACTGGTTTATATACACACAAAAGAACATACAAAGGGGAGATAAAGAGAATCTGTGTTTTGTGTGTTGTGTGTTGAATTGTGTGGGGCGGAACCTAGGAGATTAAGTTACCAGGATTCACTTCCGCCGTCCCATTTTTTGAGTTACTTTTGTTCTTGACACGTGACAAACTGACAGTTAGAATAACTGTGTCTTATGGTTATAGGTATATGCTTGCACAGATAATTGTTCAAAATGGCCTTAATGGCTGTATATTTGTTAGAATGTTTCATGCACAAAGCAAATCAAAGGACTTAGAACCCTGTTTGACTGGTTCTACTAATGTGGGTCGGTCGAGAAAGAATCAATCTGCTATATTTATGATTTTAATAGTAGATTCATAAATTCATTAAAAACTTTGATGTGAAGACTCTCAACATAAGATTAGAGTAAAAGAGAGAAGAGAGAGAGAGATTTTATACATAATCTTGAATGAGTTTAATAATACTAAAAGTATTTGCTGTCTGAATATGGTAGATATGCAAGACTGTACAAGTATTATGTTCTTGAACGTTGAGGCCTGAGGGCCATTCCCATCTCCGTGATAGAAATAGGCCCAACTTTTCAACAAATATCATCATTGGGATTGAGAGAGGCATTTGGTTGGAGTGTAATGAGATTCGAGAATAATATATATTATTTACAGGGTCCATTTGGATCGGGTTAATATTAGATAACTAGGGTAATAATTTTAAATTGAGCAAATGACGTATTTGGTTGGTTTGTTAAAAAATTATTCCCACAATATTATATGACAAACAGTAACATTTGGGGGGTAAATTTCCGGTAATATTAATACCTAAGGGGGGGTGTTATTAAAACTACCCTGGTATTACAATTTTTTTCCCATATTGCCCCTAAACAGTTGAGCATTTGTTCCAAATTAACCTTATATTTGCTATATTTACACAACACCCATCACTCATGCAGACACTTTTGTCCTTCCTTTAAAAATTTCGAACGATATTGCCCTTGTTATTATCATTATTCACAGAAATACCTTTATACCCATAACTAGTCACCACGGCAACCACGTGATCGCCATCGAGGTTGCCAAAAGTCGCCATAATGGTATACGACTAGCCGTATATGGCCAACCGTGCTCGGTGAGGCTTTTTCCGACATGGATCACAGTTCCATGGTCGAAAAAAGCTAGATCTGGCTGTTTCACGGCCAAGCATGTGGCCGTGAAACAGGACAGATCTAGCCATGAAAAGCCAAGTCTTTTGGTCGTTTCACGGCCAATCTGTGGCATTGCCAATAGTGGCTTGGGTGGGGGTAGGGGTGTTTTTGTAAGTTTAAAACGTTTTTGGTTGTAGGGGTTTTTGCTCAATTTGAAAAGTAGGGGGTTTAAAAAAACTATTCAAAAAATAATAATAAAAAATACTGTTAAATTAATATTTAAAAAGGAGGGCAATTTAGTAATCTATAGAACATACCCACATTTATCCTTCAACAAACATAATTCACCAATATATTTGAACCAACCAAACACATTTTTTAAACATTCCTAGTCATTTTTAAGGTGATTTTATCCGTTAAATAATATCCCCCTATAATAAAACATTATATGATCCAAATGCCCCCACATTATTATACTTAGTTGTCAAGTAATATAATATTTTGGTAATATTTAAAACAATAATAATTAGTTGTGGTTATATAAATGGTAATCTGAATACCACACTTTTTTAGGTATTTAATATTACTTAATAATCTTGGTTGTTATAATTTACCCTTAATATAATTATTTTTTTACAATAATACCTTGTTTTGAAAACAATTTCAAAATATTCATTGACTATTTATCATTATATAAAAAAATTTAGGACATAAATAGCCTTGAACTTGAAAACCATTACCCAATACTGGTGGCCGGATATGGCCACCATCATCGATTGCTGTTTCTGTTGTCGAAACAGGCGCACGACCGACCAGATCGATGCACGACTGTCAGATCTAATCGGTAGTGCGCCGTTCCAACTGCCGGCGATGGTGGCCCGCGACCATCAGCGGCTTGGGTGGCTAAGGTGTTTTTGTTAATTTTTAAACTTTTATTATGGGGTGATTTAGCTAAATTCCAAATATTGGGGGTTAAAATAATCATCTAAACAATAATATAAAAAGAAGTGCAATTCAGTAATCTATTTAACATATCCATCAATTTTTCCAATATAACCAAATACATTTAATAACATTCCCAATAATCTTTAGGGGCCATTTGGATCGGATATATTAGATAATTGGAGTAATATTTTTTAAATTAAGTAGATGAAGATGTTTGGTTGGTTTATAAAAAATTATTCCTGAAATATTTTACGACAACTAGTGGCATTTGAGCGGTAAATTGTCGGGAATCTTAAACCTTGGGGGGGGGGGGGGAGGGGGGGGGGGTGCGCGGTTATTAAAACTTACCCAAGGTAATATATTTTGTTTCCCATATTGCCCCTAAACAGTTGAGCATTTGGTTCAAATTAACCTTATATTTGTTAAGATTTACAAAACACTCAATTCACTCATACAAACCCTTTTGTCCTCATTTTTTTATTTTTTCGAACGACATTGACCTTGTTATTATCATTATTTACAAAAATGTCATTGTACCCAAAACTAGCCACCACTGCTAGCCATCGTGGATCGCCACCGAAGGCTGCCAAAAGTCGCTATAATGTCGTATGACCAGCCGTATATGGCCGACTGTGCGCCGATGAGGGCTTTTCCGACCATGGATCTGTAAAAAACAGTCAGATCTCGTGAAATGACCACAGATCTGGCCGTGAAATGATTGGCGTTTCATGGCCAAAATTTGTGGTCGTGAAACAGTCGGCATTTCACTGTCACATCTTTGGCCGTGAAACGGCCATGGCCAGATCTATGACACTGCTGGCGTCACGGCCAAATTTGTGGCATTGTTGGCGGCCTCCGATGGTGGTGGTTGGCTGCCGGCAATGGCTTGGTGTGGGTAGGGGTGTTTTTGTTAAGTTTAAAACATTTTTGGTTGCTAGGGTGTTTTTGCTAAATCTGAAAAGTAAGGGGTTAAAAGAATTATTCAAAAAATATTATTATATTAATATTTAAAAAAGATAACAATTTAGTAATTTATATAACATACCCACTCATTTATCATTCTAACTAAACATATTATTCGCCAATTTATTCGAACAAACCAAATACATTTTTTAAACATTCTAATCTTCAAGATCATTTTTTATTCCATTCATATAATATTCCCCTATAATAAAACATCATATAATCCAAACACCCCCTTAAGATAGTCTATCTTCCTCTTAATATAACATTTTTTTTTGAACTAAACACAACTTTAGGTAAATGAGCAATAACCCAAAGTCTATTCACGTGTAACATGGACTTAAATTCAATTATATCAAGTTTACCTAACATGAAGTCAAGAATTCAATATAGCCCTTGACTCGGGCCAAACTAAGGTTTCATACANGACCTCTGTAATGATCGTTTTGACAGTTGTCATGAAATATTATGGCGGGATGAAGGATAGAGTGTTTAGCTTACACGGGTCAGCTCGAGTTTTGTCATTATTGACTGATTGAGCGAAATAAAGCTTTGCTTAACAAGAGCATTATTTGGCACGGCTCTCTGTCTACAGAAACGGGTAAGCTGTCGTTCTTATTCAGAAGTAGATTAATTATCCTCTCGAGACTTCAATTATGATTTAAGAATCTTATCATATGTAATCAACCATTAAAATTGACAACTTGAGTATTGCCCTCTTTAGAGAAACTAACCATGTCATTGAAATTCAGATCATGCATTTATAACAGTTAACAAACATTTTTTTTTCCGTCTTTTCTTGTTGAATTAGAGAGCGCAACAATGGCAAAATCAAAAGTCGACACTTTATAGTAAACAAACTAAAACCCTGAACCTGAAACAAAGATTTAGAAAGTATTGGAAGTAAGTCAGTAACGGTACCAGCAGCATGCAGTGGATACAAATACTGGACTAGTGATCATCCAGTGTTGATGTGGACACCTATGGCGATGAGAAAGATGGTGATCAGGCCAAAGAAGATGATGGTATGAACAAGAATGGATAGACCACTAGTATGCATGCCTCCAAAATCAACCACTCTGTTCCTTCCTGGTAACTGGAACAACAATCCTGGACTTAGCAGCACAAACAACACCACTGCAATCACCACAGGCCCCCAATCTGCCATCTCTTTCTGAATAAAAAAAGTTCAGCTCACTACAACTCTTAGCTCTCTTAAAGATGAAGGAAGAAGAGAATAATAGTATGTGAACTGTCGTTTGAGAGAAGGAATTAAAGCAAAGAATAAACGAAGAGGATCAAGAAGTAGTACACAACAAGAAATCTTCTTCTCGGTAGATCTAGTGGGTATGTCACGTTCAACTGGTGCTTTTTGGACAGATGCCAGTATGCTATGGCAACGTGGCAATATCATGACTTGAGCTTCGCTAATGACACAACATAATACAGTAATATCGAGTTTTATATGAAATGATTTCTTCCAAAAATATGTTGGAAGAAACCCACTTTGTACGCCACCCATTTAACTATTGTCAACTTTAGTGTTGAAAGATTTAGCTCATTACGTTAATTAAATAATAGAAATGAGAACAGCTATGAGTGATGTTGCCTATCAATCTTAATTGGTGGGTGAAGGCTATTGGATTGATAGCTGTAACGAACGGTAAAGATAATATTTGAATTCAGATGAGAACTTCAAGTACACTTTACTCTCAGGAGTCAGGGGAACATTAGAATCTAGCTTTGTAGCAGATTGGCACAGCTTTATATTAAACCTCTTGGTAATTCAATGGTCTTTTACAGCCATTAGCCAATAGTACAAAGAGTTGTTGGGAGAGGAAAAAGAGATTCGATTGGGTAAGAATCTGAGCAAGCCATCCTTGATCACACTGTATGTGGCTGTGGCGCATTGGCCATCTCATGAAAGTTCTTTTGACCTCGTTAACGCAGCACCACCACAAAATAATTTTTTAAAAACGTTTTGGCTGTCTCGTTGAGTAGGCATCTTTCCTATTTACTTTATTGTTTGGTAAAACTTTTATTCACCAAACATCCTATTTTCTGGTGTATCAGAGCTCTCAAGGCAGGGCTGGAATCTTGGATTTGGTAATTTTCTTGATCGTTTGATTCTGTGAATCTCGTCAAGATTAGGCTAGGATATTCCAAGATTTTTATGCAGTTAAAACAGAGGGTTGTACCAATCTTTTAATATACTAAATATTATGTTAATTTTTAAGAAATGTTGTAGTAAATATGGTTATATAGGAGACCAGTAAGAGTTGGGTTCAGCAAGATGACCCTCAGAATATTCCAGTTCAGGAAGAAATGGTCCAAGAGATGATCAAGAAACTTGTAGAGTAGGAGGTGGATTCGACATTCACCTAAAACATAAACCCAGCTGTCAAATTTAAAGCAACCCAATATGCATTATTAGTAATAGAATTTATTAAAAGTCAAGATCTAAATAATGCATATAGTACACAACTGTTACGAATCGGTTGGCAAAATCTTAGTTGTGCCAGAATCAAAGGAAACCAAATTTATAGTCTTTGGGAACAAAATGATACAGGTTTTCATGGAACCAGAGAAATATGCTCTGAAGTCTGTGCACCAGAATCAAAAGAACTCCATGGAGCAGAATGGAAGAAAATTTAAGTCCTTTGGCAATGTACGTTCAATCTTGCAAACCAGCCCTCTGAAAACAATATTTTGTCTAGTTAAACAGATCTTTATTTTAAGTACTGATACGTATAAACGGCTTATACATGTATCTCTGAAAATCATAATATGCCTTCAAATTGCCGCCAGTAACACAAACTAAAAAACACTAAGCAAGAAAGGGCATAGATTTAGGAAATGATGAAAGAAAATGGAAGTCTTTCTCAGTACTATTATTACTCAACAGTCAGTTACATCTTATATCAATGCAAAAGACCAAGACACAAACAAAGTGATGAAAAGCTACACAATTAACCGACTCGAATTAGAAACCCTGCTGCAACATCCCGAACTAAGTAATTTTCATCTCATTGCCAAACATACAGCCATGTTAATGAGTACATTATTAACCAAGGTACAAATGAACCTTGACAGCAAGCAAGAAGACACAAATGAGAGCAAAATAGAGGAGGGCATGAACCATGATTGCCGCACCACTTGTCTTAAAATTGCCAAACTCCACGCACCTCTGATGCCCCGGCACCTGAAACAACAAACCTGGCGTTAGCAGCACGAACAAGATCACTGCCACAAACACTGGGCCCCAATCTGACATGTTTCAAACACTTTGCTGTTTATCTCGAGACTATTGTATTGAAGAATGATTGTGTGGGAATTAATGGTGAGGTAGTCGCTGGCCTGAAGACTGGTTTATATACACACAAAAGAACATACAAAAGGGAAGATAAAGAGAATCTGTGTTTGTGTGTTGTGTGTTGAATGTGTGTGGGGCGGAACCTAGGAGATTAAGTTACCAGGATTCACTTCCGCCGTCCCATTTTTTTGAGTTACTTTTGTTCTTGACACGTGACAAACTGACAGTTAGAATAACTTGTGTCTTATGGTTATAGGTCATATGCTTGCACAGATAATTTGTTCAAAATGGCATCATTAATGGCTGTATATGTTTCGTAGAATGTTTCATGCACAAGCAAATCAAAGGAATTAGAACCCTGTTCGACTGGTTCTACTAATGTGGGTCGGTCAAGAAAGAATCAATCTGCTTATATTTATGATTTTAATAGTTAGATTTCATCTAATTCATTAAAAACTTTGATGTGAAGACTCTCAACATAAGATTAGAGTAAAAGATAGAGAGAGATTTTATACATAATCTTGAATGAGTTTCAATTTAATACTAAAAGTATTTGCTGTCTTAGATATGGTAGATATGCAAGACTGCTACAAGTATTATTTTCTTGAACGTTGAGGCCTCAGGGCCATTCCCATCTCCGTGTTACAAATAGGCCCAAACTTATCAACAAATATCATCATTTGGAATTGGGCTAACTCTCACGTGATGTTTGGTTGGAGTTTATACGAGATTACGAGAATAATATATCTTATATTACTTATATTATTATATTTAGTTGTCAAATAATATAATATTTTGATAATATTTCAAAACTAATAGTAATTATTGTTGGTTATATAAGTGGTAATATGAATACTACAACTTTTTTAGGTATTATAATATTACTTAATAATTTTGATTTTGTTATAATTTTACCTTTAACTATTAATTTCTTTTTGACAATAATGCCCTTGTTTTGAAAACAATTTCAAAAATATTCATTGACTATTTTATCATTATATACAAAAATTTCAGGACATAAATACCCTTGAACTTGAAAACAATTACCAAGATAGGTGGCCGGATATGGCCACCATCGTTCGCAGACTTCTGATGTCGGAACAGTGCACAATTGACTAGATAGATGCACGACCAGTCAGATCCAACTGATAGTGCGCCGTTCCAACAGCCGGTGGTGGTGGCTAACGGCCAGCAGTGGCTTGGGTGGCTAAGGTGTTTTTCTTAATTTTTAAACTTTTATTATGGGGTGTTTTAGCTAAATTCTCAAATATTAAAAACGAAGTGCAATTCAGTAATCTATTTAACATATCTACCAATTTATTCTAATATAACCAAACACATTTAATATAACATTCCCAATAATCGTCAAGGGTTGTTTGGATCGAGTTAATATTAGATAACTGGGGTAATATTTTTTAAATTGAGCATATGATGATGTTTGGTTGGTTTGTAAAAAATTATTCCCGGCATATTTTATGACAAACAATGACTTTTTTTTTTTGGGGGGGGGGGGGGGGGGGGGGGGGGTGGTTGGTGTTGGTATTAAAACTTACCCAAGGTAATATATTTTGTTTCTCATATTGCACCTAAACAGTTGAGCGTTTGGTCCAAATTAGCCTTATATTTGTCAAGATCTACAAAACACCCAATCCACTCATGCAGACCCTTTTGTCCTCATTTTTTATTTTTTCTGGACTATATTGCCCTTGTTATTATTATTATTTATAGAAATGTCATTGTACCCAAAACTAGCCACCACCACCAACCACCGTGGACCGCCGTCGGAGGCTGCCAAAAGTCGCTATAATGGCGTACAACCGGCTGCATATGGCCAGCCGTGTGCCGGTGAGGTCTTTTCTGACCATGGATCACAGATCCGTGGTTGAAAACAGCCAGATTTGACCATTTCACTGCCAAAGATGTGGCCTTGAAACGACCACAGATTTGGCCGTGAAACGGCCAACATTTCACCCCCAGATTTGTGGCCATGAAACAGCCGACGTTTCACAACCAAAGACTTGGCCATTTCACGGCCACATTTTTTGCCGTGAAATAGCCATGGCCAAATCTATGGCACTACTAGCATCATGGCCAAATTTGTGACACTGTTGATGGCCTCTGATGGTGGTGGCTGGCTGTTGGCAGTGGCTTGGGTTGGATAGGGGTGTTTTTGTTAAGTTTAAAACGTTTTTGGTTACTAGGGTGTTTTTGCTAAATCTGAAAAGTAGGGGCTTAAAAGAAATTATTCAAAAAATAATAATAAAAAATACTATTATATTAATATTTAAAAAGGAGGACAATCTAGTAATCTATGTAACATACCCACTAATTTATCATTGCAACCAAACATATTATTCGCCAATTTATTCGAATCAACCAAACACATTTTTTAAACATTCTAATCTTCAAGGTGATTTTTTATTTCGTTCATATAATATTCCCTTATAATAAAACATTATACGATCTGAATGCTCCTTTAAGATAATCTCTCTTCCTCTTAATATAACATTCTCACTAATACAACATTCTTGAACCAAATGCACCTCTAGGTAAATGAGCAATAACCCAAAGTCTATTCATGTCATGGGGTGCAGTCGAACCGAGTAGCTCGTGAGCTACTCGGAATCAACTCATGACAAACTCAGCCTCGACTCATCGGAAAACAAGTAGTTCACAAGTTCGAGCTTATCTTCAAGCTCACGAAAAATGTCAAGCTTTTCGGGCTTGATTCGAACTGCTCGTGAGCTTCTGAGAAACTCGAGACGTCATTCGAGTAGGAGAGCTCGTGAGATCGATCAGTAAGGCAAAGCTCACGTATTCATATTTGCCCTAAAATCTGAAATAAAGTCATTCGGCCAAAAACAGAGAGATTCAGCTACTCACCTCTGCCAAATCACACCGCAAGATCTAAGACGCCACCATTGTCCAGCCTTCATTCAGCTACTACTGACCAGCCACCAACCTTCAGCTACTACTGTCCACCGTCATCTTCCCTTCTTCACTTCTATTTTGTTATTTTGTTAATGTTATGTAGATAAGCAAATTGAGCCTACTGCTACTGTCGAGTTTATTGAAACTTCTTTAGCTTTCTTGTTTTGATTCGAACTGTTCGTGAGCTTCTGAGAAACTCCAAACGTCATTCGAGCAGGAGAGCTCGTGAGATCGATCGGTAAGGCAAAGCTCGCGTATTTATATTTGCCCTAAAATCTGAAATAAAGTCATTCAGCCAAAAACAGAGACATTCAGCTACTCACCTCTGCCAAATCACACCGCAAGATCTAAGATGCCACCATTGACCAGCCTTCATTCAGCTACTACTGACCAGCCACCAACCTTCAGCTACTACTGTCCACCGTCATCTTCCCTTCTTCACTTCTATTTTGTTATTTTGTTAATGTTATGTAGGTAAGCAAATTGAGCCTACTGCTACTATCGAGTTTATTGAAACTTCTTTAGTTTTCTTGTTTGGCTACTTCCTTTCTTCATTTCTTGTTTTGATACATAAGAATATTGAAACTTCTTTAGTTTTCTTGTTTGGCTGCTTAAATACATGGGACAAAGTGCTAAAATGAAAATTAGTTGAGTAAAACGTGCCACTGTTACGTTTGAATCCCTGTATATGGCTTTCTTAACTTTGGGTTTCTTATTCTGTATCTAATTCAGAGGAACTTAGATCGGTTAGAAGCATTATCTAAGAAGCTCAAGGCAAAAACTGTTAGAACAGAGGCTCCTTCTTAGTCTATTGCTGCCACAAGGTACATTTTCCTTCATATTTATATTGCTTGAATATATTGGTAGCTGCCAATATATCTAGGAAAGTCAATATGAAATGTTTCAGCGAGTTGGGAATACTACTTTCCCACCCAAAGTTATTAGATATTCTCCAATGTCCATTAGAAGAAAAATCTACAATGCTTGAAGGCAAGATTTTCGTTTTTATTTGAGAGTTTATGAAACATGTGTAAGAATTAAAACTTGGTAGCAGCAAGTCAAGTCAGAATTTTATTTCCAGATATTAGGTCTTTATTTGAGAATTTATGAAATCATGAAATAATATAATTAAAGAGAAGATAAGGGTGAAAGGGGGGCAGAGTTTTGGTAGTTGTTTGAGTTAAAATGGTTGATGATGAAAATGGCGATAGTGATAGATTTGGAATATATCCAAGGCTTCAAATTTTGATATGCTTTCACACTAGCCCATGCTTTTCATAAATCTTTTAGACTTACTTTGCACTTCATAGTCTTCTTCTATGGAAAAAGAAAAACTATAAAATTATATGAGCACAATTAGATCCAGTTAATCAGTTGGATTGTTGATCATTATTCTTTTGTGAGATTTTATTGAAAGTTTCATTCACTTTTACCATATCGGTTGTTGGGTTAGTAAGTCTATTAATTATTAATATAAAGATTTTGCTATTAAACTAGAGGGTCTCATGTTTCTTCACTTCTTTCATGGAATTATATAATCAGAAAGGTTCTATTTTTACAATCTAAATATAATTAGTTAATTTTATTTTTTTTTTAGTTTTTATCCAAAAACTCTTTTTCTTTACTCAAAATTTTAACAAAAATGATATTTATCATCAATAATACTTTATATATAAAACTGGAATAACAGTTGTAGAGTTGTTGATGGATTTTGATATTTCATTTTGCCATTCCCGCTGGTGGTTTGCGTGTTGATCCCATTGACTTGCTCAACTTGACCCATAACTTGTCCTCATTGTTACTTGTCATATATACCCCAAACTACCATTCAATCTTCTTTCTAGTACTATTACAAAACAGTTTGCACTGATTTAAGCATTCATATTTTGCCCTCTACTAGTTCCTCTTATTTTTGCTTTTCACTACACATCAACACTTGGCAACAAACTCTGCAGTTTAGTGCAATGCAGTTCAGATTTCGTTTTTGTTTGTGGGGAGTGAACTATGATTTTAATTGGCTTTGTTGGGTTTCAGTCATCTGTAGTTCTATAGTTTGCTAGAATGGTTTTTGGCTTAATGTTTCTAACTTTATATTCTTTTTGCAGAGGGATTTGTTTATTCCAATGGGGCATTTTTCATTCACCCCCAATCGAACACACCCTTCCACTTTACGAATGCAACTAGTAGAAGATATCTTTGAAACCTGGTCTGATGACGGTGCCACACCCACAGGCACACCCGGTGATGGTGTTGATGTTTCTACCCCTCATATTGACAAGGAGCAAGTTAATCATTTTCAGAGGAAAAGAGACCAAAGACATCAACAGTTTGAAATGAATTTAAAGAAGTAGTTCTACCGGATGGTTCTACAAAGGGAGGGTGTATTTATTGTAAGGCAAAACTTGCAATAACGGAGACCAAGAGCACAACTCAGTTTGTAAGACATTTGAAATCATGTTTGAAGCGAATAGGTAGTCAGAGGCAAACACAATTTTTTTTTTGGTCAGCCAGTTTAACAGATGAAATCTCAATGCAATCTGCACCTGCCTTTTCAGATGTCAACTTTGATATGAACAAGATGCAGGAACTAGCTGCTAACTGGGTTTTACAGTTGTGGAGGAGAAGGGTTTTAACATGATGCAAAGATGTGGTATGCCACTATGGGAGAAGATAACGTGTACTGCTTTAAAACAACATTGTGTGACTGTGTATGAGATACAAAAGAAGAAGTTGGTTAATTTGCTTATGAGTATTAACAAGATTAGTTTGACAACTAATCTATGGAATTCTTCTAATCAGAAGCTTGAGTACATGGTTTTCATCGAACATTTTATGGATAATGATTGGAAGTTGCAAAAACATGTGCTCAATTTTGTTCATATACTGACTCCTTGACCTGGTGTTGAGAAAGTTGCTGCTATTCGTAAGTGTCTAATTGAATGGGGAATTGAGAACAAGGTGTTCAGTATCTTGGTTGACAATGCTTCAAGTAATGACGTGGCAATCAAGATTTTGGGGGAGAATTTAGGAAGAAACAAGAAGCTAATGTGTGGTGGGAGGTTATTTCATGTGCGGTGCGCGACACACATATTGAATCTCATGGTTCAGGTTGAGCTTTCCCAAATTAAGCCCATCATTCAAGACATACGTGACTGTATTTTGTATGTTAAGCAATCAAAGACCAGAGTAATTATGTTTTTAGAGATTGTTCAGATGTTGCAGTTGCCTAAGCAGAAACTCATACTTGATTGCAAAACGAGGTGGAATTCTACTTATGAGATATTGGCACTTGCAATGCAGTACAGAGATGTGTTTCCAATGTTAGTTCAATTGGATAATAACTTTACTTATGCCCCAATATATGAAGATTGGGAAAAACTTGAGAAAGTATGTGAGATTTTGGAAGCCTTCAACTCGGCAACTAAAGTCATATCGGGGAGTGAGTACCCCACTTCTAACTTATTTTTGCAAGAAATTGTTAACATAAAAGAGTTGCTAGATAAAAAGTGTTCTAATGATGATGATTCCATTCGATCAATGGTAGGAAAGATGAAAGAAAAGTTTGACAAGTATTGGGGGGAATGCAATTTCATAATGGCAATTGCGGCTGTATTGGATCCGAGGATGAAAATGAGGCTGTTGCAATTTGCCTACCCATAAATGTATCCTGATGAAGAAGCACAAGACAAAATTGATGAAGTGCAAGCTGCCTTGTATGAGATTTATGAGGAATACGCAACGGAAAGTCAATCTTCCAACAGTGAACCACCTGTAGAAATCAGTAAAGTTCAGCAGGACAATGTACAACACCCTAAATGTACTAGTTCACGGTTCTGTCAGTTTGTTAGGACAACTCAAATGGTGCAGCATGAGAAATCTGAGTTAGATCGTTATCTAGAGGAGAAATGTTTGTTATGAGACGAGGATGATATCTCATTTGATGCGTTACAGTGGTGGAAGGTAAATCAAATGAACTATCGCATTCTATCTATGATGGCTCGTGAAATACTTGTCATTCCAATCACCACGGTTGCTTCGGAGGCAACTTTCAGTGCTGGGGGTCAAGTTATTGATACTTATCGATCATCGTTGTCTCCCGATATTGTGCAAGTGATACTCTGTGGTGGTGATTGGTGTCGCAATCTGTATGGAGTCAAGAAAAGTTACAAAGTAAGTTTCATACTTCCATAGTCCAATTTATTAAAAGTATGGCATTATTTGGTCGTTTATTCTTGTGTATTCTTGTGTTTGCTGAGAGTGGTGTAGATTGTGTTCTGGATTGTGTGTGTGAGAAAGGGATTTGCAAGGGAGGTATTCATCATAATGCAATCATTTAGTACTGGTGGGAATAGCTTGTAAATGATTAAACTGCACAATCATGTGACATTATTGCTCACTATAAGATGAGGGACTTCACCTATTATGTATACACGTGACATTGCACATGGAGTTGTGCTTTAAGCATGATGTTTATAATTCATCTGTATTGTCTGCATGTTTTTTCTATGTATGCAAGTATGCACTAGTTGCCCACCATTAAAATCTTAATTTGCTTTTCATCTATCTAAGTAATTCTTACTTGTTTGGGAGTACAAAGTGAAACTGATTTTTTCTTATTAAAAGGAATAATAAAGAGTTTAAGAAGAGATAAGAGATAAGAAAAAATTATCAATGTTGTGAGTAAATAAAGAAGTAGTGGAGAACGGAGAGAATTTTAAATATTCATTGGAATGATGTCATCTAAAGTATGTTAATACATTTTGAAAAATAACAATTTGGAACTTGGCTTTATAGCAGTTGAAGCATTAAGCAAGCTTGATTTGTTGGATGGCATGGTTATATATTTTGTGTCAACTTTTCAAGCTTTGTAAGTTAAAGTTCACTTAAATCTTAACTTACTAATGGAAATTCCCTAATGTTAATTCTTTCTATGTGCAGAAAATGCTCTTGCCTTGCGGCCTGCCCCCAGAAAGAGAAGATGATTGAAACATGCTTTTGAGACTCTGAAAGTGAATGTTTTGGATTATGTCTATAGCTCCTATTTGTAATATCTCTTTATGTTGGTTTTCATGTGACACTGGGAACACTTGGTAGTGAATTAAATTTGCAAGAAAGATTCCTTATTCTGAAGTATTGATCAAAATTTAAAATCAATTGAATTTTGCGGTAATTTACTGCCCATTATTTTAGGTGAAATTTTCTTGTCTGAATTGTTCAAGTCATTGTATTTTGTTCAGAGAAAAGTGGAGATCCGTGAATCTTAGTGTTCCTTATAACTCCGGCAAATACTGATGAGCATTAATATATAAGTTATGTGCTTTACGGTAAAAGGCGATGATTCATTGCCGATGGATGGTAGTCTATTTCGGGTGTTCATATGAGCTGGATTAGTTTAATAACGTGCCAAATTAAATTGAGCAGAAAGGCAGAATAAAATTGAATATTGATACCGTGCAAGATGTTTTTTTTTTTTATTGTTTAGCTCGATTTCGACTCGGTTTGGCTCAGCTCGTTTAATATATAATCGAGCCAAGCTCGAGCTCGATGCATTCGAGCTGAGCTCGAGCCAGCCACTATTCGGATCGGCTCGGCTCGTATGCACCTCTCTATTCACATGTAACATGGACTTAAATTCAATTATATCAAGTTTACCTAACATGAAGTCAAGAATTCAATATAGCCCTTGACTCGGACCAAACTAAGGTTTTCATACAATAATGATGCACAATAAGTGCCAAAGATGGATGAGATCATTGACAATTAAGTGTGTTTGTATAGTCAAAATAAGTATTTATTCAGTGCTGGTAGTTAGTTAATCAATTTTTCTTCTTTCTTTTATTCCCATTTGAATACGTCTAGAAAAAAAGTCCCTTATAATAAAACATATACGATCTGAATGCTCTTTTAAGATAATCTCTCTTCCTCTTAATATAACATTCTCACTAATACAACATTCTTGAACCAATGCACACCCTAGGTAAATGACAATAACCCAAAGTCTATTCATGTCATGGGGTGCAGTCGCCGAGTAGCTCGTGAGCTACTCGGAATCAACTCAGACAACACTCAGCCTCGACTCATCGAAAACAAGTAGTTCACAAGTTCGAGCTTATTTCAAGCTCCAAAAATGTCAAGCTTTTCGGGCTTGATTCGAACTGCTGCTGGAGCTTCTGAAAACTCGAGACGTCATTCGGTAGGAGAGCTCGGAGATCGATCAGTAAGGCAAAGCTCACGTATCATATTTGCCCAAAATCTGAAATAAAGTCATTCTGGCCCAAAACAGAGAGATTCAGCTACTCCACCTCTGCCAAATCACACCCGCAAGATCTAGACCCACCATTGTCCAGCCTTCCATTCACTACTACTGACCAGCCACCAACTTCAGCTACTACTTACCCACCGTCATCTTCCCTTCTTCACTTCTATTTTGTTATTTGTTAATGTTATTAGAAGCAAATTGAGCCTACTGCTACTGTCGAGTTTATTGAAACTTCTTAGCTTTCTTGTTTTGATTCGAACTGTCGTGAGCTTCTGAGAAACTCAAAACGTCATTCGAGCAGGAGAGCTCGTGAGATCGATCGGTAAGGCAAAGCTCGCGTATTTTATTTTGCCCAAAATCTGAAATAAAGCATTCAGCCAAAAAACGGACATTCAGCTACTCACCTCTGCCAAATCACACCGCAAGATCAAGATGCCACCATTGACCCCTCATTCAGCTACTACTGACCACCACCACCTTCAGCTACTACTTCACACGTCACCGTCTTTCCCTTCTTCACTTCTATTTTGTATTTTGTTAATGTATGTAGGTAAGCAAATTGAGCCTACGCTACTATCGGTTTATTGAAACTTCTTTAGTTTTCTGTTTGGCCTACTTCCTTTCTTCCATTTCTTGTTTTGATACTAAGAATATTGAAACTTCTTTAGTTTTCTGTTGGCTGCTTAAATACATGGAAACAGTGCTAAAATGAAAATTAGTTGAGTAAAACGTGCCACTTTACGTTTGAATCCCTGTATATGGCTTTCTTAACTTTGGGTTTCTTATTCTGTACTAATTCAGAGGAACTTAGATCGGTTAGAAGCATTATCAAGAAGCTCAAGGCAAAAACTGTTAGAACAGGCTCCTTCTAGTCTATTGCTGCCACAAGGTACATTTTCCTTCATATTTATATTGCTTGAATATATTGGTAGCTGCCAATATATCTAGGAATCAATATGAAATGTTTCAGCGAGTTGGAAATACTACTTCCCACCCAAATTTATTGATATTCTCCAATGTCCATTAAAGAAAAATCTACAATGCTTGAAGGCAATTTCGTTTTTATTTAGAGTTTATGAAACATGTGTAAGAATAAAACTTGGTAGCAGCAAGTCAAGTCAGAATTTTATTTCCAGATATTAGGTCTTTATTTAGAATTTATGAAATCATGAAATAATATAATTAAAGAGAAGAAAGGGTGAAAGGGGCAGAGTTTTGGTATTGTTTGAGTTAAAATGGTTGATGAGAATGGCGATAGTGATAGATTTGGAATATATCCAGGGCTTCAAATTTTGATATGCTTCACACTAGCCCATGCTTTTCATAAATCTTTTTAGACTTACTTTGCACTTCATAGTCTTCTTCTATGGAAAAAAAAACTATAAAATTATATGAGCACAATTAGATCCAGTTAATCAGTTGGATTGTTGATCATTATTCTTTTGTGAGATTTTATTGAAAGTTTCATTCACTTTTACCATATCGGTTGTTGGGTTAGTAAGTCTATTAATTATTAATATAAGATTTTGCTATTAAACTAGAGGTTCCATGTTTCTTCACTTCTTTCATGATTATTAATCAGAAAGGTTCTATTTTACAATCTAAATATAATAGTTAATTTTATTTTTTTTTTAGTTTTATCCAAAAACTCTTTTTCTTTACTCAATTTTAACAAAAATGATATTTATCATCAATATACTTTATATATAAAACTGGAATAACAGTTGTAGAGTTGTTGGGATTTTGATATTTCTTTGCCATTCCCGCTGGTGGTTTGCGTGTTGATCCCATTGACTTGCTCAACTTGACCCATAACTTGTCCCATTGTTACTTGTCATATACCCCAACTACCATTCAATCTTCTTTCAGTACTAGTACAAAACAGTTTGCACTGATTTAAGCATTCATATTTTGTGCCCTCACTAGTCCTCTTATTTTTTGCTTTTCACTACACATCAACACTTGGCAACAAACTCTGCAGTTTAGTGCAATGCAGTTCAGATTTCGTTTTTGTTTGGGGAGTGAACTATGATTTTAATTGGCTTTGTTGGGTTTCAGTCATCTGTATTCTATAGTTTGCTAGAATGGTTTTGGCTTAATTGTCTAACTTTATATTCTTTTTGCAGAGGGATTTTGTTTATTCCAGGGCATTTTTCATTCACCCCCAATCGAACACACCCTTCCACTTTACGAATGCAATAGTTAGAAGATATCTTTGAAACTGGTCTGATGAGGTTGCCACACCCACAGGCACACCCGGTGATGGTTTTGATGTTTCTACCCCCTCATATTGACAAGGAGCAAGTTAATCATTTTCAGAGGAAAAGAGACCAAAGACATCAACATTTTGAAATGAATTTAAAGAAGTAGTTCTCTACCGGATGGTTCTACAAAGGGAGGTGTATTTATTGTAAGGCAAAACTTGCAATAACGGAGACCAAGAGCACAACTCAGTTTGTAGACACATTGAAATCATGTTTGAAGCGAATAGGTAGTCAGAGGCAAACACAATTTTTTTTTTGGTCAGCCAGTTAACAGATGAAATCTCAATGCAACTCTCACCTGCTTTTCAGATGTCAACTTTGTATGAACAAGATGCAGGACTAGCTGCTAACTGGTTTTACAGTTGTGGAGGAAAGGGTTTTAACATGATGCAAAATGTGGTATCCACTATGGAAGAAGATAACGTGTACTGCTTAAAAACAACATTGTGTGACTGTGTATAGATACAAAAGAAGAAGTTGGTTAATTGGCTTATGAGTATTACACGATTAGTTGACACTAATCTATGGAATTCTTCTAATCAGAAGCTTGAGTACATGGTTTTCAATCGAACATTTTTGGATAATGATTGGAAGTTGCAAAAACATGTGCTCAATTTTGTTCATATACTGACTCCTTGACCTGGTGTTTGAAAAGTTGCTGCTATTCGAGTGTCTAATTGAATGGGGAATTGAGAACAAGGTGTTCAGTATCTTGGTTGACAATGCTTCAAGTAATGACGTGGCAATCAAGATTTTGGGGGGAATTTAGGAAGAAACAAGAAGCTAATGTGTGGTGGGAGTTATTTTCATGTGCGTGCGGCCACCATATTGAATCTCATGGTTTCAGGTTGAGCTTTCCCAATTAAGCCCATCATCAAGACATACGTGACTGTTTTTGTTATGTTAAGCAATCAAGAGACCAGAGTAATTATGTTTTTAGAGATTGTTCAGATGTTGCAGTTGCCTAAGCAGAAACTCATACTTGATTGCAAAACGAGGTGGAATTCTACTTATGAGATATTGGCACTTGCAATGCAGTACAGAGATGTGTTTCCAATGTAGTTCAATTGGATAATAACTTTACTTATGCCCCACCAAACATATTATTCACCAATATATTTGAACCAACCAAACACATTTTTTAAACATTCCTAGTCATTTTTAAGGTGATCTTTTATTCCGTTAATATAATATCCCCCTATAATAAAACATTATATGATCCAAATGCCCCCACATTATTATACTTAGTTGTCAAGTAATATAATATTTTGGTAATATTTTAAAACCAATAATAATTATTGTTGGTTATATAAATGGTAATCTGAATACCACACTTTTTTTAGGTATTCTAATATTACTTAATAATCTTGGTTTTGTTATAATTTTACCCTTAAATATTAATTATTTTTTTACAATAATACCCTTGTTTTGAAAACAATTTCAAAAATATTCATTGACTATTTTATCATTATATAAAAAAATTTAGGACATAAATAGCCTTGAACTTGAAAACAATTACCCAATACTGGTGGCCGGATATGGCCACCATCATCGATTGCTGATTTCTGTTGTCGAAACAGGCGCACGACCGACCA